TGTTAATGGCTTTTTATTTTGAGAGAAAATGACACATATTTCATAAAATCTTGAATGGCTACTGGGACTTGAATATACCTTTAAAAAATTAGTTCTTGATTTTTTTAATTTACTCTTCTATTCCTGGGTAAGATGCAGAAAACACACCAGCAGAATTTAGCCATTTAACTCTATCATCAGTGGAAGAATCAGTGGAGGGCACCTCATCTACTCGAAGGAAGGACTCTGGCCTTGGTGAAGAAACAGCTTCTGGCTTAGGAAGCAATCTGTCTGCAGCTTCTCCAGCTGCGCCTCTGGGTGTCAGCGCTGGTCCAGATGCCATCAGTGAGGTGCTGTGCACTCTTTCTTTGGAAGTCAATAAATCTCAGGAAACAAAAATTGATGGAGGAAATGAGTTGGATAGGAAGGTGACAGCATCAGTTCCAGTTTCAAAAAATGTCAATGTGAAGGACATTCTCCGGAGCTTGGTTAATATGCCAGCAGATGGAGTCACAGTGGATCCAGCCCTTCTACCCCCAGCCTGCCTTGGTGCTCTTGGAGATCTGTCTGTTGACCCACCAGTACAGTTCAGATCTTTTGACAGGTATGTAAATAACCCTTTGTTTCAGTATGCTTATGTTTGCAGATTATAAAGGTAAATAGGAATCCATTATGAAAGTCTAAATTCTGTGGCTTTAACATTAGAGTAGAATGTTTTGATCTAATTTATAAAAAATATAAGGGTAGTTTTATTGTGTGGTTTGTACAGTATTTCAAATGTTTATTTAGTAATATTTTATGTGCCCCTAAAATTATTTTAGGTGTATTTTTAGTAATGCACATTGTGTGTAAAAGAGCCCGCCCTTCATCCCTCCTTCCCTCCCTCCCTCCTTCCCTCCCTCCCTCCTTCCCTCCCTCCCTTTTTTAGTTACACCTCAGTATTATTTGAACTTACCATAGCTGCCCATAATTCCCTTCAGTAGTGTCAGCCTTTGTGACAACAACAACAACAAAAGTGGGGATCTAGATGTCAGCAAATACAAGAATTAAACCAAGTGTTCTGATCATGGGCAGTTTGAAAAAGCTAACTACAGAATCTTTGTTGATTGTGTAGCCCACGGAATTTTTGTTTTTATAGATTTGCCTATTTTTCTAACTACCCAAGACCTCAGTATTGCTAGGGATATGCTCTACAATCAGTTGTAATATGTCATCAGCCCATCTGGTCATTGTCTTTATAAAGTTTTCTTATGTTCTACTTTTAACACATAGTTATTGAATGAACACTTTTAAAAATTAGTATTTTTATCTGGAAACAAACTAATGTATAGAAAAGTTCCTACTGCAAAATATTTTATTTGGGACATTAAGTTGCTAATATGATACTTAGATACTTTTTAATACTTTCTGGGTTTTCTGTATAGATATACCATTATTTTTTAATAAGAAAATTAAAATTGTTACAATGCTTTTTAAATCTTAAAATACTGACTATAATTATTATCTAAATTTCTTTAAAATTATTTAATATTTTTATTTATTCTTTCATAATTTTTATGTATATATAATGTACTTTAGTCATTTCTGCCTCGTTTTCCTCTTATCCCTGTCCACCTCCCATTCAACCCCTTCTTCCCAGCAACCATCATTCCTACTTTGGTTATTTTGTTTGTGTGCTTTATTGCATTTATTTATTTATTTATTTATTTATTTATTTAAATTATGTATGTCTGTGTATGGATATGTGCCCATGAGTGGCAGGTGCCTGTGGAGGTCAGATGATCCATTGGAGTTGGAGTTATTTATAAGTAGTTGTGAACCAGCTGACATGGGTGCTGGGATCTGAACTCTGGTCCTTTTCAAGAGTGGTGCATACTGTTAAGCACTGAGCCATTTTTAGATGCTTCTGTGTGAACGTGGACAGTGGATAATTTACTTGAACGAAGACAATTTATCAGTAGTTATACTACTAAGGAATTTGATTCTTCATCCAATCGACCATTTTACTTCTATAGCTCCATCAAGAAGGGTGGGTCCTTCCTGCATCAATCCATAGTTCATAGAGATAACCACTGTTTTTGTAAGTTCATGGGCACTACAGCCATGCTGTTTCTAGAAGACAGCATTTCATAGCACTTCTTCCCATTCTCCAGCTGTTACATTGTTTCTGTTCACTCTTTTGCAATGTTCCCTAAGCTTTGGAGTTTGTGATGTGATATTTCACTTATTCTCCGCACTTTGGCCACTTACGAGCTTGTCTCTTAACTGGTAATGTCTGCAAACAGAATTTTCTCTGACCAAGTCTAATAGCAGTAGTAATCTATATGTAAAATTACAAATATTTAGAAGGTAATTTGACAATATAGCCATTTAGAGAAACAATAGCAATAGGTTCCTTTGTCTAGTTCCCATAACCTCCCACCCGTGAACTTTTGACTAGGTTTATAATACCAGATGTGGATTCCCTTCTGTGGAGCTGGCGTCAAATCCAAGCAGAAAATGATTGGTCTTCACATAGCAGTTATGTTACTTACTGTTGCACCAATGAGAACATGTGGCCTGATAGACTGGTGGTGCAGAATTCTTAGTCTGGTGGGACTTATAATGACTTTTTCCCTTCAGCAGCAAGCATAGTACCTTCTGTCTCCAGGAAAGCTAGCCAGCAGGGAAGAAGCTTCCAGCTCAATTTTTACTTGATTTTTTTATGTCCTATAAACCAAAGTATGTGGTGCATTAGCAATAGGGTCTAATCATCTAGTTCTGTGGGCAACCAACAGCAGTGGGAATAACCTGTTCAATAACAGTCTTTTACGTCAAATGATCCAATTCCAGTTTATGTCTCTTCAAGTATTTGGATGTCCCTCAATTTCTATTTATCTAATGTTGCCTTAGAATTAGATTCAGGTTAGTACATCTTTGGCAGAAATATCACAGAAGTGACAGTTTCTTCTTGTTGATTCCTGTCCAGTGGCATATGTGTGGTTTTATTTTATTAGTGATGCAGCTTACTCTGGTCAGTGATTACAATGGTATGCACTAAGTTTCTCTACTATTATGGAATTCTTTGTGCATAGAGGCTATAAAAATTCCACCACTTTATCAGATTTTCTGTTCATTCATATTATGGACTTGAGGTTTTCTGTTTTATTTGGTGGCTTCTAATATTAGAGGCTTCTACATATAAGACTATGTAGTAATGTTTTTCAGTTAGTGTAGTCTTTGTCCTCTCTAATTCCCTCTTCTATAAATAGTGTCTTACTCTGTTTTCCATGCCAGCTTCAGATTTGTCAGCTCAAATTATTATTTTTCGAGAGACCCCTGAACTCATGGTAATCTTTCTGTCTTGGTCAAGGCTAGGATATGGGTGCAAGTTACCATGCCATCTTAAAATTAACTTAAATTTGTGCTACTGTTAATAATAAGAAACAATTTTAATTGGCTGTGTTTTGTTTGTATACTTAAAATGTTTTTTAATGAATGACAAAAATTTTTATTTTGGCATTTATTTATTTTTCAATTATGTTGAAATTAAATCTCTATTTTCAGTGCCTTAAGTCAGATTATACATTTACTTAGGGAATCCTGCTTAAGTACTTACTTTAAAAAGATTTGTTGAAGTAAGAAAGAAACAGTAATTTTGCTGGTAGCATTTTCAGGATGTTCTGTGGAGCTTAACATGTCTGGTATGCATTTAACATATTGTCTGATGGAGTGTAATCTTCTTTGTCTTTCCCCCTATCTTTTTCCTTAGCAAGAGACACCTTTTGAAAGATTTTTTTCTTGAATCCATGGACCAATGGAGTGTCTTTGGGAATTTCAAAGCATCCCTCTGATCATGTATTTATCTCAGGAATGCTGTGCCAGAAATCAGAACTCTCCTCATATCTTAAGAGTTATCAACTCCCAAGCAATCACTGGGAAGTTTAGAGTAACAGCTACATGAGTGAACCCTTGCTGAAAGGCTGCCAGGTTCAGTGTCTGCAAAGGGAAGGTGTTTGTGTTCATTCCCATGCCAAGATTCCTGTTCTTATCTAATTTGAAGATCCTTGCTGGCGATTAATGGGTGCCAGGGATTTATCTTGATAAAGTTCAAGGGCTGGTCTGTGTTTTCAGCTGAATCCTTAGGGACTAAAGTACTCAGCTGAAATATTTTTTTTTCCTTTTTGTGAACCATTTTATTTAACCATTAAATAAAATAGCAGTGTGAAGTTTTGTAATATTTTAAACTGATGTAATTTTAAAATGAAAATTCTCAAACTTGTCTGGAAGATATTATTGCTGTTTATTTGTGCTTATTAGTAATTAATTGAAAGGACCTTTAAAATTCCTAATTTTGAAAAATGACAACAAAAGTATTTTCACTTGCTATGTGTGGGACTATAAAAAGTACCTTAGATATCTGTATAATTCAGATAATTACTTGCTTCATAAATATTAAGACAGATTTTGAGTTTATTTTTTAAGTAGAAACTTAAGACCTAGGGCATACTCAGAGGTAGAGTTTCTGCTTAGTTTGTGCCAGATCATGGGCTGAACCCAACACAAGAGTTGGGAACGGAAGAACAAAATAAATATGCTCGATAACAGTATATTTTCAAAGTGAGCTCTATGTATGTTGCATTTGTTTTTTGTTTTTTAAGCGACTCCAAAATATTTTGGTTTTGTATAGCTAATTCCCGTTGAAAAGTGATAAGTTTAAATTTTTAGGCTACCTTTTAAAAATGTAGAATGTACTTTTCTAGTAGCTTAGATTTATGCTTACAGGATGAACATAATAGGCCACATATCTCTTCAACAAAAGGTTTTAGTCTTTACACTGAAACTTTGCTGTAGTAATAAAATGAAAACATGCATATATACATATATTGTTTATTTCCATTTTAATTAGATCATGTGATTTTGGATTTTATTTTAATACATCCCAGAGCTTTAGTAGTAATGTGTTACTGCTTAGATTTGAATCAGGTAATTGATCCAGAAATTATTAATTTTATTTTTGTGTGTACTAATTCATAGTTTGAATAAATAGCAGAGAGAAAACATGATCACAAAGGTGAATTTCCAGGGTCTGTATTACCCATTGCACTACAGATATGTTGACCCCTGAGATTTCCCCAAATGTGGGAAAATTGACTAAATGATTTCTGGTAATGGGGAACTATCTTCATGCTCTCCCCTATTAAAATTAAAAAGTAAAATAAAACTTCATTTTGTATTAATTTTTTGTAATTTAAAAGTATATGCATAATTTCTTACCATGAAAAATCTTCATTTTTATTCTGTATAGATTATTGTAATGGAGATATATTTAAGTGTGAACATGAATATGATGGTTGGAGAACTTAGTGAACATACCGAAAACTATTTAATTGTATGCTTTATGTGCAGGAATTGTATGGCATGTGAATTATAGCTTAGCAAAAACTTGAAAAGCAGTTCATCATGAAGCAATGGCTGAAGTCAGACAATCTGAGTTGGGCTGCATTCCTAAAATCCACTTTGATAAGTTGCTTTTTGAGCTTGTCTTAAAACTTGAAAAAATGTTTTAAAAAGCTGTTTGGTGGCACGTGTCTGTAGTCTTAGGATTTGTAAAGGGTGAGGACAAGATGGTAAGAGGAGGATTAGGAATTCAGGGCTCTGGCTTGGTCTACCTTTCATATTTTCTCCCCCAGTTATTTTTTTTTTAATGAAATTAACGTATCCCTTAAGATTGTTTTTTGAATTGAACTATAAATTTTTGAGAATATGTGCAAGACTGGGCAGTAAATAACTGAACTGAATAAAAGAATATGCTATTTTCACTATTGAAATATTATTAACAGTACACTAAATGTTTAAAAAGGAATCAAAGTTTTGTTGTGTTTTAATTAACCATGGATGAATAAGGATTGCACCTGTTAAGGAACAAATATCAAATGTAGTATTTGATGAACTTTGACCAGTTTATATACTTGTGTTACACAAAACATTAGTCACCATTTTCCCTTTCTAGCAAGCCATTGTCCCTGTCCCTCAGAGTAAGTTGCTATTTTAACTTTTTTACCATTTATTGGTTTGCCTGCTCCAGAACTTTTCAAAAAAGGAAGTAAAAAGTATGTGCTTGATCATAGGTTTCCTTAATTTATCCTAACACCTTTGAAATTCATCCATATTGGTAAGTTTATTAGCACTCTATCATATTGTTACATAATAGTATCCTATGATATAAGCCCTCACCATTTAAAAGTTTAGCTTTTCTGCATGAAGGACATTTGAGCAGTTGCCAGTTTTCAGCAACTTTAATGCATCTGCAAGCATAATTGTATTATTTCATACTTAAATTTTCTTGAGCAAAGTTCTGAGGTACTGTTATTGGGTCACAGGATAAATTTATATCTAAAATTTTGATTGTAGAGCCAAGTAATTCTTTTTTCCCCCCACTGCTGTGAATTGAAAAGGCAAAGTGCTGTGCCACTGCCTGCCCAAAATTTCACTAATATTTCCTTGCACATAATTTCAATAACCTAAATGTTATTCTGTCATCAGCAAATATCTGTTGTATGCATAAAACAGGTTGTGATGGTTCTATTGTGAACAACTGTGAAAGTGAATTATACACACTTTTCATTTTTCTATCTTATTTGTTAGAGCATAGAGATTTTCTTACATATTGGTATATAAATTTCTGGCAAGAGTAGGAAAAACAAATACAGATTATATTTAGTATTGTTTTCTGAGCCACCAGCACATATGTATGTGCGCATGTGTGTGCATGCACAAACTGAGGTCATATCTACTTCCCTTTAAGTCACCGATCTTCATCTGATATAAGCTACCATGATTTAAGCACACCATTTTGGGATTGTGGGCTCAGGTGGCTGTTGCTTCTATTTTTTAGTATATAGTTAACATTGGCAGTCACCCTTATAATGATGTGACACCAGCTACCCCCGAGTACATTGAATAAGCCTTGCCTAGCAAAAGATAACTTGATTTAATTGGCAACAGTGTTTGCCCTCAAATGATAGTCACTGAAGTAAAACGGAACCTATTTCACTTTGTTCCTCTTTTAAAAAAAATTAACAATAGATACATATTTTTAAAATAATAGAATTATGTGATTTAAAAAGTATGAATACATTTATTAGGATAAAGTACCTAAGTGATTTTGTTTAAAAATCAAACTTTAAAGCTATTAAGGGAATACTTTGAGCTTACAGTATTGTCAACAAAAGATGTGATTAAATAAATTGAATGTTGAAGACTTTAAGCTTATGGTTAACACAGGGTAATTAAAAGTAAGAGCTGCTGTGGGAGTACATTATATATCAGCTGTCCTTTTACCTCATTAACTGGGTTTTTGCATGTTTATGGAGCTAACGTCAATTAAAAATGCCTTTTAAGTTATGTCTAACAAGGTCTTTTAGTTACTCTTTTAGTATAAAGTATTGCACTTTAATTGAAATTGGTATATCATAAATACATGTGTTTGAATAATACATAATATGAACAACTGGTTATTTAGCACATTTTCTGTTTAAAAAATTGTCCATTGTTTTCTATGTGGTATACTCAAAAGCTATCATATTTTATGAGCTGTACAATGTATCTGTATAGGTATTGTCTTATCTTTTAAGATACTTAAGGTTTTATGATTTCAAATTAGCAGTGCTTTAAAATCCTCCTTGAAACACACTGAGTTTTCTGTATCAGTTCTGACATTAAAAAAAAAAGTTAATTACTTTTCTTCTTAAATTCCAAAATTATTTTTTCCCTACAAAAATTATCTTTGGTTATATTTATTAGAAAATTCAAGATGATCTTAAATTTGAAAACATCTAATGTAGTAAATGTTGGTTAAAACGTTAAAATGGGATTATTTTCCTAGGACATTGTCCTAGTTTTAAAAACAATGAGGCTGGGGAGGTAGCTTGCCAATAAAGTGGTGTGCAAATAGGACCTGGGTTTGATCTTACAAACCAATGTTTTTCAAAGCTGTGTGTATGGAAGGGAGAGTGGAGAGGTGACTGGAAAGATGGTTTCGATGCTCTTCCAGAGGACCTGGGTTTGAGTCCAATCACCCACATGGTAGCTCACAACTGTCTGTAACTCTAGTTCCCAGGAATCCAATGCCCACTTCTGGCCTCTGGGCATCAGCCACACATACAATACAAAAACATGTGTAGGCAGACCACTCATATATATCAAAGACCAGCCAGCCAGCTAACCAAACAGGCAAAAACCTGGATGTAACATACTCTTCTAAATCCAGCCCTGGGAAGATAGACTCTAGTGAACCTTAGGGTTCACCAGTCAGCCAGCTTAGCCTACTCAGCAGTTTTCTGCTCTGTGAGAGATCCTTTCTCAAAAATATGGTGTTTGGCTTCTGAGGAATAACATCCAAGGTTGTGCTCTCTCTTCCTTCCTACCCTCCCTCCTTCCCTCTCTCTAAAAGAGAAAAAGGCACATAAATATTGACAACAGCAAAGAGACTTTAAGTTGAATGGATATTCTAAAGAATACATCAGCTGGGGAGTGTTGGTGCAGCCTTTAACCTCAGTACTCAGGAGGCAGAGGCAGGTAGATCTCTGTGATTTTGAGGCCAGCAGCCTGGTCTACAGAGCTAGTTCCAGGACAGTCAGGCCTACACAGAGAAACCCTGTCTTGAAAAACCAAACCAAACCAAACCAAAAAAGAATACATCAAAAAATAAGAAAGAAAATGAAAGAGTTAGCTTCTTTTTATTTTGAAATGTATAATTAATGTTAATGTTTTACATTTTAAAATCTTTATTACAGAAGTGTCATCATTGCAACAAAAAAATCAACAGTCTTACCTTCCACCCTTCCTACAACTGCAACTACCAATGCTGTCAGTGTGGTTTCTTCAGTAGATTCCACCCAAGTCTCAGATGTGGGAGGAGAGTCACCAGGTGAGTTAGGTGTCAGTGATATCAACATAATTTTTAGATCCTATTTTAACTAATCTTAGGATTTTCTAATAAAACCAAGAAATTTGTAAGGTACTTTATAAACCTGTGCTTTTGTGTTTTACTGTTGTTTGCTAGTATTCTAAAGAAATCTGAGTAAAATTAAAAAGTAAAATCAGGACTGGAGATTCATTTCCATTGGTAAAGTTCCTGCCTAGCATGTATTGAGCCCTGGGTTCAATTCCTGGTACCACATGAATTGGTGGTTCAGATACCTGAAACCCTAGCAGGTGGGGCAGATGATCAGATATTCAAGGCTTTATAGTGATTAAAGACCTGCTTCAGCTATATGAGACCTATTAATGATTGTTAAATGTATATCTACTATATACTACTTTGTTTATATTTCTGAATTAGAATCTAGGAAAATATTTGCTATCCTTTTTTTTTGCAACTTTTTTTTTTATTTGAATTAGAAACAGGATTGTTTTACATGACAATCCCAGTTCCCTTCTCCCTCCCATCCTCCCCTACCACCCCTCTCAACTAAAATCTTACCTATCACATATCCTTTCTGCTCCGCCTGGGTGGTGAGACCTTCCATAGGGTTTCATCAGTGTCTATTGTATCCTTTGGAATGGGGCCTAGGCCCACCCCTGTGTGTCTTGGCTCAGGGAGTATTCCTACATATGAAATGGGCTCCCAAAGTCCACACCTATACTAGGGATAAGATGCAAAAGGCATCTGTTACTTAGATCCTTAGGGAATTTGTAAGTAATATTTTACTCCCTGCATCGATGTTGATGGATGGTCTTTTTGCAGATATTTGGAAAATTATTGAAAGAGCCATGTGTATCATTGCACAGATATGGAAAGTATAAGCCCATGTCTTTCATATGTTGGAAGCAACCTTTGCATTTAAATGGGTGATCATCCTTTGGAAATGTTTAATGTTAAAACAATAAATTTATCACAGATTTATAAGTTTTCAGTTAAAATGCATAATTACGTATTCCTGATGGATTGAAGGACAATCTCAAGTGAAATTACTGATATATATTTACTTCATCTGTTTTATTTTTCTATTGGTTTATTTTTTAATATTTTCAGTTAATTTTTTAAGTAATTGTTGTGCATGTGTCAATTTTTTAATCATTGTTGTGCAAGTGTCCCGTGGCTTAAAGATTTACTTTTATTTTTATCCGTATGTCTGTGTATCTCTGTGTGTATGCCAAGTGTGATGTGTTTGGGGGCTTGAGAAGCCAGAAGA